TTGAAATATTACCTAGAGAAATAATCTTATTATTTTCTGTTATTTTGCTATAACTTATCAAATTTGATTTCATATCTTTAACATAGAAAACATTTTGCATATCTACTAAACTCTTTTTACCAAAAGCATCAAAGTAACTTAAAACATTTCCAATTTTAGTAGCTTTTACAACCCTATTATCTCCTAAATAAACATTAATGGGATCTTTAAGTAATTTACATTTATCAAATAATTTTTCATCATTAATAATGTGGTCTGTACAACCACTATCTAAAAGCCATTTTATTTCAATACAATTATTTACATTACCTATTTCAGTATTTTGTGCAATAACTGACATATCCTTACCAAGAGCTACTGTTGTAAGCCAAGAAGCACTGTTTCGCTCTTCGTTCTTCTGTCCTTGTCGGTTGAACCGCTGTGCACTTGTTCCATGCGTTCCGCGCTGTCCACGTGAGTGGCCACGTCCTCTGACGTAGCTTCCTCTTCCGGCTTCTTGTCGACCTCGCGTTTCTCTCCACCAGCCTCTACTGCTTGTCGTTTGTCCGCCATTACCCGACGCTTGATTGGCGCCATTTTTGCAATCTCGCTTGAAATGACCAACTTCGCCACACTGGAAGCATGATCGATCCTGTCGACCTTTATTTACCACAAATGTACTGGATTTTCTTCCAAAATCATTGTTTTGATTTTTTAATTCGGACATCATAACCTTAGTTTTTACGTAGTCTGCAGTTTGATCATCTTCTTTTAATGTATCTATTAAATCACCAATATAACTGTACGACTCTGGCAACGTGTTTAACATATAGTTCAATTTTTCCTTTTCAGACACACTAGCACCCGCGCTTTTTAACTCGTTTATAGCTTTTTCGAAGTCACTAAAAAATGTTGCACAGTCTCCATAGTTGTTCAATTTTAATCTTTCCAAGTTATTTCTACATACTATCTGCAATGCCGTTGATTCTTTCAAATATAAATTATCAAATTTCTTTATCATCTCATACGCCGTAGTTTTTTCGTCGATGTACTCCATCTGTCGATCCGATATTGCACCGCATATATAATTCATTGCTTTTACATCATCGTCATCCCAATTTGTATCATCATTTTCATTTTTCGGTCTGGTTACCACAACATCACACTTCTTCATTTTCAAAAATAGCATAAGACGTTTTTTCCACATTTTATAATTCTCCCCATCGAATATAGGTATTCTAAAATCACTACTACCTGCCATCATGTGTCACACTTTTTTTTTTCAAACTGCACCAAACTTTTTCTGTTGTAAAAGGTACGACTTTCCAACCACGGACCTCTGCTACCATGTTAAGGTGTGGATTTGGAAAATAAATAGTCGTACTTTACTACTATTATAAAAGGCTTTATTTCCTATAACATACATACTAATTAACTAACCTAACTTAAGCCACCATACTTCTTACTACCACCTACAACTACATGATACTCATTGACATTACTATTATTGTCTGTCATGTCAACCCATGACACTATGGGTGCGTTCCGCTTACTCTTACACCAATATATCTGTGTATACAATATAAATGTATTACATTCTCAACAATATTGTAACCAGCTCACCTCGTTCACCACTCGTACAATCGTTTACTTGCTTGATACCCTTTGTTGCAATAATCTTTTTAGGGTTCTGATCAGTGGTGAGCGCGGTTTCATCTAAATTAAAAGTTTTCGATCCTTGGGAAAGTGAAGGGTTTTTATTCAATATATTACGGAGATTTTCGAAGAAAATTTCTACATTGCGTCTAGTAAAAGAAGTCAGTCTTGATAAGCTGCAAACCACTGGTTGTCTTATGCTTAAAGTTTTGCAGCGTTGCATAAAACCTCGTAGCCAAACTTCACCTGCCATTTGTGTTGAATTCCATGATTCTGGCGTTTTCAGTTTATTTACAACAGAAACTTCATACGCCAGTTTACGAGCATCTAAAGTCGTTAGCCCATACGACATTTTGCTATAGGTTTCCAAATACTCTTTAAAAGTTTGTTCTTATTCCTCGTTAAACTCCAATCTGCAGCATTAAGACTACGAAAATAATGGAAAACAACTTACTGAAGGCACATTGCAAAACAGAGTCATGTCTATATAAAAAGAAGAAGAAGAAGAAGAAAAAGAAGAAATTTTTAAAATTATTCCTTTTCATAATCATTACACCTTCTAAAGTTATCAGCTTATTTGTAGTAATAATTTCATCTTTAATTGAACATTCTAGAAACTCTATTTTTTCTTCAAGAGCTGGTAATCACTGTTCCAGTCTTTGCTCGAAATTCCTTTTAGTATTCCCTACTAACAATACATTACGACCACAAATTAAGCACCAGAAAATGTTAATAATGTCCGATCTATGTTCTTTATTTCAGCAGTCATTATTTTTGCAGTTTTCCCTTCTACTTTGTTCTTGAACTTCATTTGACTACTACCAGATCTAGTTTTTTTTAATAACACATACCAAATTAATTCACTACAATAGTTGATTAAATAAATTCCATGCAATATAGACCATGTGTTAATCTTTTTATTTGATATTTTATAGGCTGAAGAAGAAGCTCGCTCTCTACAAAAGAAGATCCAAGCCATTGAAAACGATCTTGACCAAACTCAGGAACAACTCACACAAGTCAATGGCAAACTTGAAGAAAAAGAAAAGGCCCTCCAAAACGTAAGTAATTTAAATTTGTACTACTCTTAAAAGGTCTGTAATTTGTAGAGCCTAAACGCAATTGAACATGAGATTTTTTACTTATATTGAATAAAATTTAATAATGTTTATTTGAAATAGTGTGAAAAAAATCTTTCGTTAATTTAGGTACTATTAATTTTTTAATATAACATTTAATATAATACTCTTCTATTTGTTTTTTTTTTCACATGAAGCTGCTGTATTTTTCTTCTCAGACGTCTATCTCATCTCGATTGAGATGAGATAGACACTTTAATTTATAAAAATAAACACTTTAATTTATCAATATAAGGTTGAATGTTCGAATAATTGAACTTTGATGGTATACACGGCAAATATCGAACACAGTAATTAATTAAATCTTGACCAAGTACTTTCGATCAATAGATCATCCTCAGGGGCATTTCGTCAGTTGTGGCCTATCCGACATGAGCAGAATGTCATACATGTAAATTTGGACATAACAATACAATACACAAAGACAAACAAACACTTTAAAATTTTTAAAAATGGAGAAGCTACATGTTATATAGAAGCCGGAGACAGAGGTCTGTCTCCGGCTTCTATATAATGTCGGATAGGCCACTGTATATATATATATATATATATATATATATATATATATATATATATATATATATATATATATATATATATATAGATTATATTATTTTTTGTAAGTTAGTGACCTAAGCGTTTGTTTTTCGATTATCTCGGGAACAAAACCACTCTCTAGGAAAGTTGGAGGATACGACCATAGAGAAATAAAACGACTAAAGGTCGATTCAGACACATCAGTCCCGTCACAGTCCCGACGCCGAACCGGTCCTGTTTGGTCACAGAACTATCAACTATCTGACAGCTGGCAAACTGTTCGTCGCCTGTGATGAATGTGAATGCCGGCTCCATATTTCTATTAAAGAATATTTTGTATGACGGATTGTTCGGTTCGGCGCCAGGACTGTGACGAGACGTGACTGATGTGTCTGAATCGACCTTAAATTGAGCAACTTATTGAGAACTTTCATTTGACACTTCCTGTGTATGTATATATTTTTTATTGCGAAGTGTGCTTTATCTAAAAGTCGAAACGTTAAATAAAGTTTTATTGCCTCCCATTGTGAAAATTGTATTTTGTTTAATTTCCCTTTAAATGATATATAAATAATATCAACATGCACACAATAAAATTTGGCAGATAACAGACGTAAATAACTGACATTGGCAACCAAGAATACAGCAACGATCAATTAATGTTGCTGAAGTACGACATTTAAATTTAAGTCCTAAGCAAGGGAAAAAAATAAACTAATTATAAAATATCCAAAAATAACCGATACAATCAATCAACTATATTATATTTTCATTAAACCATCTATTTAAGTTTTTATAGTGGAAGTTTCCATGGCTATTTCTATTCAGTGATGTTAGCCCAAAGGAATTCACATCCATGTTATGCACATGTATCACTTAATAAAATTTGGCTGAAGCGCAGAAGCTACTAAGTTCTTTCATCACTGGAAAGTATAAAAAGTTATTTTTGTTGTTAAACGCCCCCCATTTTTAAGGTAGTCTACTTTATTACTTTTCTGAACTACTTTCAAAGTACTTTGCTGGACTGTAAAAACGACGTACATCAAACATAAGGTATTACTATGTTTTATTATCTGCTTAGAAAAGTAAACTGAAAGAAACGAACGACGAAAATCCATTACGCATATTTTCAGAGGATCTAAAAATACACCAAGAACTCGATCTCGCGCCAAATAAGGACGGATGAATAATGCTCTATATTTCAACTACCCGTGACGTAGAAAATACAAAATCGAGATGTATTACTTGTTCATTTTATCAAGAAATATATATTTCTTTCTTCATTGAATACTTCATATAGATTAAAACTTAAAAAAAATCGTCATTTGCGCATTACATGTTGCATACCTCGTAGGAATACAAGTATCCTGATTATTTGCCAAGGAAACGTCACAAGTTCGTAATGCATGCCAGACAAACCGACATACTTCACACAGTAGGTGCGTCTTTTCCAATGCCTTATTAATAAATAAACGACATGTGTAACTGATAAACGAGTTTGTGAAAATTGCAAGATATTAAAATGAGTGATATTATTATTGGATAAAACATGGTCGCCAAGTTGACAAACGTGTCGAGTGCTGCCGCTTTGTCGTTTTTAGTTTCTCGATATTCCACGCGACGCAAGCGCCAGTGAGTCCAATATGGCGGAAATGAGTAGCACGCGATAAGTGACATCTCTAAAAAAAAATGTCAACAACCAGGGCGGCGGGCAGTGCGAAAAAAAGGGGGCATCAACATCACCCTAGAAACGAAGGTACCAGGAAAAGGTTAGCCCTAGAATTATCACCTGACAAACCCTTAAGCGAATACAGCATAAATAATGTAGTGACAGCGCAAAAGTCGACAATAATAAATGAAAACACTGTGATAAAAGATAGTGCCTTCCCTGAAAATAGTTCGAAAAATGTAATAGCCAGTCAATCACAAAGTCCCACAGAAAGTACCATCAACAAATGTGATATAGAAGTGATAGATTTAACAAATTGTGATGATGATGATGTTAAAGTTGTTAGTATAAAGGAACCAAGTCCTACCAAAACAGATAGTTACGAAAGTTGTAGTAAAAGTGTTAAAGATGATCGTAATAGTAAAATTCGAAAGCTTAAAAAATCTAGGTCTAGTAAAAATGACACCCAAAGTGAAACTAAAGAAAAACAAGATATGTCTCTTGTTCAAAGACCAGAAGCAGAAGGTTCCAGTCAGAGTGACATAGAAAATGAACAAGGTCCTGTTGATCCAGAAATAGAAGAGTTATCAAAGCTCCGCTGTACGTCAGAAATGACTGAAGTGGTAGCTGAAAGAGAAAAACGCAGAAGGAGATGTGCTGATTATCCAGGCTTGGCATTTGCTAGTTCCATATTTAGTTCAGATACCTTAATGAAGTTTTCCATTATCAAAAATGAGCTGCATAATATTATGAATACACAATTAAAGAGGGTAGGTAAACAACAATGGTTTTCTGGAACCAAATTTTAAAATAAATACTTAAGCCAAATATTTTTAATTCGCTAATCATATTGTTGGGGTAAAAATACCTATAGTAAAACTATTTTAGAAACAGCGTTCATTGGTATGACATTAAAATTAACATGCATGATCTGAGAGATAACAAATATGTACACAATTTGGTTTGTGTCCCAACAGGTTATTTTTAGATTTTAAATAAACATACAAACTAAGATAGACATATGTTTTTTGTAAACAGATTTGAATATAATAGATTGTAGGTATAATTTTTTACAGGGTCAGACTAGGTACATGTTTCATTAATTAAAATATCTTAATGACAAACATGAATAAGCCAATATGTAAATATAATCGACCATTTTAATTAACTATTATGACAAAACGTTTGGCATTTATTTCAGATATTTTTATTTTTTATCTACTTACATACAATATTTTGCAATCATAATCAATTTATTTTAATAAACAATAATCATCTTAAATAATCCCCAGAGATTTATACTAATTTGTCAATTAATCTTGTCAGATATTAGTTTTTGTTTGAATATACATACACTGATATATATTTAATTTTATTTTCAATTTAATAAACTTGAACTTGTCCTCCACAACTGAGAACTTGTTATATCAATAACCAATAGTTTGAGAAACAAAAGCCTGGGATTATATTAATATTATGGTTAATTTTAAAATATTTCTCAATCTTCTGATTGGGGCAGAATTACTATTCACATCTCTGAAACCCATATTGTTGGGAATTTATCTTTATGGTATAACCAGCAATTCACAGATTTGTAGTTTACTGTTTTTATTTGTGAAAAAATAACTCAATTTCCTACAATATATAATGTTAACAATATAAAAAAGAAAGATGAAAGACTTTTGGGAATATTTGAGTGTAAAATACTCCGCAAAATATTTGGAGCTGTAAACGACCAAGGGCAGTGGCGCAGAAGATATAATTTTGAATTGTATCAGCTCTTTGATGAGCCAGATGTCATAACGTTCATTAAAACACAGCGACTTAGATAGGCTGGACACATAATACGAATGCCAGAAAATACCATTGCTAAAAAGCTAACCACAGGAACACCTGTAGGAAAAAGAAGCAAAGGCTGACCGCGAATTAGGTGGTTAGATTGAGTAGAAACCGACTTACGAATATTAAAAATCAGAAGATGGCAACATGTTGCCAAAAACCGAACAGAATGGCGACGAATCTTAGAGCAGGCCAAGATCCACAGAGGATTGTCGAGCCAAAGATGATGATGATAACAATATAAAAAACTAATTAATTCCCATTACTTACTGTTCTCTTGCTGCCTGCTAAATTATTTAAATTTTTCCCTAATCGGCAACAGTTTGTTTTCTGACGTTTTGATATTATATTTGACATAGTCTATAGAACAGTAGCAACAGGAAATTTTGGGTAACATGATAGAACTAAAAATTAACTAAATACATTGTATACAAATAATAAATATTCGTAACACATATGGCTCATAAAATTTTGACATTGGTGATAACAAAATGCTGGAAAAAATAGGTATATGACTGAATCCAACAAATTTACGAAAATATACAAGATGCAAAGAATAAATTTGAAGAATTTCAATAACTAGCTCATTCTAAATGAAAATAGGTTGCATATGAAAATCACAATGCTAATAAGAGATTGTTTGTTCCAAAAAGCACTCAAAAATTGGAAAAATCTATTGAGTGAGATTTCCTCTAGAAATACAATAACTCATTCCCTCAAGCTGTTATGGCTTAAGAGATTCCTTAGTGCAAAACAAGAAATAGGACTGACTATTAAGTAAAAAGAAAAGTAGAATCCAACGTAGCTTGTAGATCTCAATTAACTATGCTAGCATCCTTGCTCAAATTGTGTAATAAGTATCTTTAATTTTCAATTTTATAAAATTACTTAGACATGCTAGACTATATATAGAATAAAGATTTATCACATTTTTTCTAAAACACTTAACAAAACTAATGAATTCTTGAGTACACTACTGTTGTGTAGAGAAATTAATTGGTAAAAGTTCCTATTTATGTATTCAACTAGTCTAATATTTATTAATTATGAATTCAGTATTATTCTCATGTCAGACAGAGTGGGAAAGCAGTTACTTAAATTTATGCACCTACTCAAAATGATAATGGAGTTTTTATTTCAGCAAATAGCCTAGTTTTTGTGGAGTACTTTTTTGTTTGCATGAATTTTTAATTTGGCAATTGTTAAGGTAAAATAATGTATGAGATGCTGATCTGACTTGGTATTAGTTGGCAATAGAAAAAAAATTAATTACAAAATGTTCAATAAAACTTAAAAATGCTCCAAAAGAACATAATAAGACCAGTTCTTATATACAATTAAGGCAGTAACATGAGTATAACCATTTACAAAACTGAATAAGACAATCTAATTAATCACATAAAAGCAAGAAGACTGAAATGTATATGTTATATAATATGTAGGCTATCTAGAAAAAATAATCTTGAGCTGCATCACTTTTGACACCAAGATCCAAAGAATGGTCTAGAAAGAGGTTGTGGAATTATTAATACTAAAATCAAAATGGATTGGAAGCAATAACCAATGAACCACACAAATACTTCTAATTGTTATGGTATACAATATTTCCTATAAAAGTAAATTAAATATTTATAGCAAAAAAGAAGGTCTGGTCCAAATAATGTTATTTATGACCCTGAGTGTTAATTATTTTGGTAATGTATATTGAATTAGGTCAATAGATATTTGAGCAAGGGAACTGTCTCAACATCGTCAGCCACTGTTCATCCACTTCTCAATATAGACCCCTTCCATTTGTTTTCATTGATTCTATCTCAACAGCTTATAGAAATGAAGGTTTTTCATGCTAAGAAACGGAACTACTATATGTGCGAAAACAAAAGGCACTAAAAACTAAACCTATAAATTTGAAATAACAAATACAACAGTACAAACTCAAATTTATGTGACCTCCAAAACTGTTTTGAATTTCAAAGGATACTGTTGTGTAAAGTAGCCTTATCCTGTTGGCTATTGAATTGAATGTTTCTGTCAAGGCAGAATTGTCTGAGATTCATCAAAACTGTTGTAAAAATTTATTGTATGTATGTTCATATCATATCTTTGGATAATGCATCTTCTATGCTTGTCTTCCATTCAGTAGGGACCCAGTAAGCCATTATACGAGACTGAACACCAAATTGTTATATGGTCACGATAAAGGTATCATCTATCTTGTTATATGGTCACAATAAAGATATCATGATATGGTCTTCAAAGGCAAGAAAACAATTTTCCAAAACCGTGAATGTCACATGCAAATGTATGAAAATTTGTGTTTCTCAGTTTGCATTAGTTGTTACAGTAACTGGATGACTAGATGATTACAATATTGTAATAATAATAAAGACTTTTCTTGTGTTGTAAGCATGATTTTGAATCTTTTTGACAGGTTATTTGAAGAAACAATGTGTCACTTTCACAAGCTTCCTGATTTTAGTGCACTGTTAATTAGCACTTATTCTTATCATATCAGCAATACATAAAATGTTTTATTAGTTCCTTAAATACCTAAGTTTATTGATTAATAAACCATATTTTGTAATTAATTAGTTTAATGAAATGCATTATATAGTGCTAAATCAGTTTTTTCCTATGTACCATTTGTTATCAGTATTTATAATCCTACAAACGATCTTATCACATTGCATGGATTTATCGCATAAAAATAAAATTTGGGAAATAAAGCTGATATGAAACTTACCAGTGCTTTACTCAATTATTGATGAGAAAACTAATGGTTTGGGTTTGAATTTAAAAAACACTAAATATATGACTGACAAGAGAACATCATTCATAATATCACATGCTTAAGCAATTTAAGGTAATCAAGAGTTTGAAAGAGTCACAAACTTTGAAATAATGCGAAGGATAGGAAAAGACCCAGAAATTTTGTCAACAATCAAATGAAGAAAACTCGAATATTTGGGTCACCTGATGAGAGGACATAAACAGACATTACTTCAAAATATAATGCAAGGAAAAATAGAAGTAAAACGAAGAAGGATAATTTGAGAGAGTGGTTTGGCTGTATGACTAATGAACTCTTTAGGTCAGCTGTAAACAAAGTCAGGATAGCCTTGATGATTTCCAATCTCTGATAGAAGCGGCTCAAGAAGAAGAAGTCTTTAAACACTCAGTCTGGAAAATCACCGGATATGAAACTGTGCAGGTGACCATCTAAAAACAAAGAAATTGCTTAGATACTGCATTCATGATTGGATTGGTTAAAAGGAATATTTTATATCTCTTCTATGGTACTTTCTTCTATTGGAATCCTCATACCACTGCTTTTTTTAACAGCTTAGTCTCTTTGAATATATTAGTTTTAACATGTTGTTTTATTGACTTTTTTATAAATGCTTGTCATATATGACATTCTTCATTCTTGTGGAACTTTCTTGCTGCTTATCCATTTTTTTAACAGTTTTGTTAGATTATGTTTCAATGATTCTGCAAGATCGATATTATTAAGATTTTGGTGAGAGATTCTATGGCATAGATTGAAGTTTAATAGGAGAAGGAGTGTGTAAAAGGTCATTGTGTCGTAATTTATAGACTGGATTTTCGGTATTAGCTGAGATTCAGAGACAAATATTTTAAATATAGATATTTTAATAATCGACTAACAAGCTCCAAAAATATTTCAAAAGAAACGTGGACAATAATAAACGATTTTCGAAATAAAACCAGTGCAGCGAATCAAACCTTTTCTTTTCCTAACGCCGAAAATCTAAATGATTACTTTGTTAATGTGAGTAAAAATATAAATTCAACTATTTCGCCACAACAAGATCAAGTTTCCTATCTCCCTAATTCAAAAACATTGCTGATACTTTCTTTTTAAGACCAGTTGATAAGACTGAACTCATTTGAACAATTCGTAGTATAA